CGCCCCACCCCTCCTCTTTTATATTGTGGAAGAGTTTGTGAAGGATTGGTTTTGATTCTTCCTTAAACATTTGGTAGAATTCACCAGTGAACCCCCCTGAGCCTGGGCTTGCCTTCGTGTGACGTTTTCAGCTTCCCGACTCGATTTCTTCCCTTGTTACAAGTCTGTTTATCTTTCTGTTTCTTCCTCAGTCGCTTCTGGTATTGTGTCTTTCTAGGAATTGGTCCGTTTATCTGATTTCCTAGCATAGGGGGTGAAGTCCGTACAGGGCTGAGAAAGAATTCTCCGACAGTGCTTAGGATGTACAGGAGTAAAACACTATTTATTTCCCCAAGAAAGAAAAAGAAAAAGCGAGATACAGAGAGAGCGAGTGAATGAGCGGCCGCGACACACAGAGAAAGGAAGTGTCCGGTGACTGGGGAGAAGCGGCTGGTGTCTTTAAAGGGTGCGACCGTCTTCTTTCCCTCTGCGTCGGCGGGCCGCCAGCAGGAGCAGTTGCGGAGTGGGGGTGTTCGCGGTCTTTTCTTCCCTTTGCCCTGTGAAGCCGCCTCGCCCGAGCCCCTGACATCTGAGCGCGGGCGTCGGCAGAGCGGGCGCCGAGAGCTCGCAGGCCGCGTCCGCACGGGGCTCTCCGGGGCCGAGGAAAGGCGAGTGTCGGAGGTAAGTGGGCCACGGGTGTTTTTTAATTAAACGAAACAAAGCGGGTAGCCGCGCTGTGAGTTTCCTCTTCAAAAGGGGCAGCTGTGTGCTGGGAGTTCATTTCCCTCGCTCTCTGCCCGACAGTTTATTCTCCTCCGTCAGATAGGTTGCTGAGACCCCCGTCGATAATCTCCTCTGGTATTTCCTTACAGTTCTTTTTATTTTTGTACGGCTGGTGGGATGTCCTCTTCATTTCTGACGTATTTGAGCCGTTTCTCTGTGTTTCTGGATCAGCCTTGCTGAAAGGCTGCAATTTCGTTGGCATTTTCCAAGAAGCGGACCTCGATTTTGTCGATACTCTTTGTTGCTTTCGTTTTCTGTGTCTCGTTTGTTTACGTCCAACTCTCTCATTTCCTCCTTTCAGCTCTGGGTCTAGTTTACTCATCTTTTTCTAGTTTACTGAAGTGGAAAGTTACATTAATGATTTCAGATATTTCTTCTTTTTTAATATAGGGATTTATAGCTATCAAAGTGAGTTTCTATCTTAGGAAATTCTGGCCCCGGCTGGGGTCCCGGCTGTGCCCTGGCGGGCGGCTGGGTCCTGGGCTGCCACTCTGCCCCGGGCTTCCCCTGCAGCCTGACCTCCTGCTGCAGAGCATGTTGGCTGGAGCAAGGGCCTCCTCGGTTTTGTCTGGGCCCAAAGCTGAGCTCACCCCGAGGTGCAGGCATCCACGCCTGTGGGGATCCTCGCGGTGACCCAAGGCCCTGGGAGTCCCTTCCGGACAGGCACCCTTGTGACTCTGTGTTGTTTTCCTCTTACCACCCACTCCCGACGACAGGCGTGAACTTCAACCCGGACCAGTGCAGCCCCAACGGCACAGACCCCTACAAGCCCAAGTGCCCCGAGAGCGACCTGGGGCGGCTATTTTTAGTAGAGACGGGGTCTCGCTCTTGCTCAGGCTGGTCTCGAACTCCTGAGCTCAAACGATCCGCCCGCCTTGGCCTCCCAGAGAGCTAGGATTACAGGCATGAGCCACCGCGCCCGGCCTTCCTTGGAGATTTTTAAACGCAAAAGTTGATGATACATTAACTTATGTTATATTATTTCCTTTTCTAGGACTGTAGGATGATACTTTGTTTCATAATCACCTCTTTCCCTCCTCAGTATAGTGCCTCTGTAGCACGTCTCCTTTTCTGTGCCTGCCTTCTCTTTGTGATAGTTGTTCATTTTTTTCCTTTGAAATTCTCTCCCCCCGCCATTGAACTCCCCAGGGTTGGGACCTGTGTCCGCTGGTGACGGCAGCCCCAGCCCCTGCTGCTGGCCCCGGCTGGGGTCCCGGCTGTGCCCTGGCGGGCGGCTGGGTCCTGGGCTGCCGCTCTGCCCTGGGCTTCCCCTGCAGCCTGACCTCCTGCTGCAGAGCATGTTGGCTGGAGCACGGGCCTCCTCGATTTTGTCTGGGCCCAGAGCTGAGCTCACCCCGAGGTGCAGGCATCCAGGCCTGTGGGGATCCTCGCGGTGACCCAAGGCCCTGGGAGTCCCTTCCGGCCAGGCACCCTTGTGACTCTGTGTTGTTTTCCTCTTACCACCCACTCCCGACGACAGGCGTGAACTTCAACCCGGACCAGTGCAGCCCCAACGGCACAGACCCCTACAAGCCCAAGTGCCCCGAGAGCGACCTGGCGCGGCACGAGCCTGCCTTCCCCGAGTGGCTGACGGTCCTGCTGCTCTGCCTCTACCTGCTCTTCACCAACATCCTGCTGCTCAACCTCCTCATCGCCATGTTCAAGTGAGCGCCCGTGGCAGGGGCTGGCGGTGCGAGCTGGCGGGAGGGCGGGCCGGTGGGTGGCTGTCCCGGTGTTCTCCCGGGATCCCGGGGACAGAGCGGACAGTGCTGGCGCATGGAGGCGTCTCACTAACATCCTGTGGAGCATGCGTGTCCACTCTCCCTGGTCACTGCCCGCCTCTTGAGACGGTGGCTGCTCTGTCCTTGTCACGGCCACTGGGGACCGGCCGCACGTGGGCTCAGGCAGGTTCTGCTCATCGCGTCCACGGCGCTGTGCTGCCGCAGATGCGCGGGTGCGCCCTTAAGTCCCTGTTCTTCCCTGCAAGGAAGGGCTGTTAGCATCAACCAAAATGTGGCTGTCGAGACAGAAATAATTTCATACAAGTTTGTTGAAAGCCAAGTGTGAAGATTGACCCCGGACACACACATATATATAAACATAAAGATTTTATAGCTTTTGTTTTAGAATTTTAGTCATAAGATAGTAATACAAACTCCCTGGTTTATAAAAGACAATTGGATCCAAATTATTTTTGACAAAATTGGGACCTATTCACATGGCTAAACTTTCTTTGCCGCCATGGGTAAGCTACTGAAGGCCGTGGACCAAAATTGTGGGTAAACCAGTTTTTATGATACTTTAATTTAAAAATCTCTTCTGCCTTTTTTCAGTTTTAAATGAGTTTAGGATTAAACTTTTGATATTTAGCTACAACTGTCTGAATTGTACAAGAAAAACAAAATCTCCAAGTGGCTAGGAATTAGTAACACCATAACCTGGGAGTTTTATTTTAATGCCGGTGGAAAAGCGAGCAGAGTTAGGGTGATAAGTAGAGAAAGGGGCAGCAGGCTTAGAAGACCGCGAGTCAATTCTGCAGTCACAGGGTTTTCGAAGAATGACTACTAGGGCTCTGGGTTTTGCACATACAGTTTGCCGGCCGGTTTAACCCGTGCGCAGGAACGCGACGCGCCGGCAGAGCCCGGCAGCCTGTGGGCCTCCTGCCGTGGGAACCTGCTTTGTATCTGATTCACTTCCCAGTTTGTAAAGGACGGGCTGGATCCATGTTTGTATCTCAGTCGTTTTATTTTCATTCTGCACTTGTTCCTTTGCTCCTCTTGTTCTAAATTTAAATACATTTCCCCCTTTCGAGAGACGGGAAAGTGCGCCGTGAAGTCCCAAAGTCCTGTGCCGCAGACAATGGGGCAGGCAGGGGAGGAGCTGGGGCCACGGGGAGGAGAGAGAAGCTTTTCTAGCCTAGAGCAGTTTTAAACGTCCTTGTGTTTCCTCGTGGACCGAGGCTGTTTTTCTCTCAGACCTTTTTTTTTGAGACAGAGTCTTGCTCTGTTGCCCGGGCTAGAGTGCCGTGGCGTCAGCCTAGCTCACAGCAACCTCACACTCCTGGGCTCAAGCGATCCTACTGCCTCAGCCTCCCGAGTAGCTGGGACTACAGGCATGCGCCACCATGCCCGGCTAATTTTTTCTGTATATTTTTAGTTGTCCGATTAATTTCTTCCTATTTTTAGTAGAGACGGGGTCTCGCTCTTGCTCAGGCTGGTCTCGAACTCCTGAGCTCAAACAATCCGCCCGCCTCGGCCTCCCAGAGAGCTAGGATTACAGGCGTGAGCCACTGCGCCCGGCCCTAAACTTTTGATGGTTAGCTAGAACTGTCTGAATTGTACAAGAAAAACAAAATCTCCAAGTGGCTAGGAATTAGTAATACCATAACTGGGGAGTTTTATTTTAATGCCGGTGGAAAAGCGAGCAGAGTTAGGGTGATAAGTAGAGAAACGGGCGGCAGGCTTGGAAGACCGCATGTTAATTCTGTAGTCGCAGGGTTTTCGAAGAATGACTGTTGGAGCTCTGGATTTTGCATGTACAGTTTGCCGACCGGTTTAACCCGTGCGCAGGAACGCGACGCGCCGGCGGAGCCCGGCAGCCTGTGGGCCTCACTGTGGGAACCTGCTTTGTGTCTGATTCACCTCCCAGTTCGTAAAGGATGGGCTGGATCCGTGGTTGTATCTCAGTCATTTTATTTTCATTCTGCACTTGTTCCTTTGCTCCTCTTGTTCTAAATTTAAATGCATTTCCCCCTTTCGAGAGAAGGAAAAGTGCGCCGTGAAGTCCCAAAGTCCTGTGCCGCAGAGAATGGGGGAGGCAGGGGAGGAGCTGGGGCCACGGGGAGGAGGGGAAGGGAAAGAAGCTTTTCCAGCCTAGAGCAGTTTTAAACATCCTTGTGTTTCCTCGTGGGCCGAGGCTGTTTTTCTCTCAGAAATTTTTTTTTTTTTTTTTTTTGAGACAGAGTCTTGGTTGCCCGAGCTAGAGTGCTGTGGCGTCAGCCTAGCTCACAGCAACCTCAGACTCCTGGGCTCAAGTGATCCTCCTGCCTCATCCTCCCAAGTAGCTGGGACTACAGGCATGTGCCACCATGCCTGGCTAATTTTTTCTATATATTTTTAGTTGTCCAGATCATTTCTTTCTATTTTAAGTAGAGACGGGATCTCGCTCTTGCTCAGGCTGGTCTCGAACTCCTGACCTTGAGCAATCCACCCGCCTCGGCCTCCCAGAGTGCTAGGATTACAGGCGTGAGCCACCAAGCCCGGCCTCTCAGAACTTCCTGTTAGAAGTTTCTTGGTTCTAAACGGAACCGAGACACTACATGGGGAAGCGCTCCATAGGCCATGCCACCTACAGCCATCCGGGCTAGGCGGGTCCACGTGTGTACGCGTGACACCCGCCCCTGGGGGTTCCTCCAGCCTGGAGGACCCGTTCCCCGCCCTGGGTGCGTCGGGCGGCAGCAGCTCTGCGGGGGAGCAAGGGTGCCCCCCACCCGTGATTAAACAGGAGAAGCTAAGGGAACGGCTCGCTCCAGACCTCCAGGGCCACAGTTGGCAGAGCTCCCGTTTCATCCTGCCCTAGGATTTCATGACAAGCTTTCCTTGCGCTGGTAGCCGTGTTCTGAGAGCGTCAGGGCGGCTGCTAGCTGAGGAACGCAGCGTTAACACAGCAACGCTTTGACCAGGGCAGGAAGCGCTGATTCCGGAGGAGCCTGCCCGCGGCTCCCAGCAGGGGCACCGAGCTCAGGAGCGCGGAGGCTTCGTTGCTGGTACCTGCCCTGAGGCTTGAGGCTGGAAGCTGGCTGGGGGGTCCAGGGAGGTCACTTCGAAACCCTGCCGACTGCACCACTTTTTTTTTTTTTTTTTTTTTTTTTTTACTGACATTACGACTGTTGAGGTAGAAATAATTTGATAAAGGTTTATTGGAAGCCAAATGCGAGGCTTGGCCTGGGAAGACACACCAACAAGCAGGCGTGTTGCGGAGTCTGCTCCGCGGGATGCTTTCGTGGGAGAGGGACGGGGACACCCCCTCCGCTGCAGGGTGCCACGCAGTCTTCCGCTGCAGACGGCGACATGCGGGCTGCGGGGTTCGCCTGCAGGACGGTTGGTAACCCTCACGATTCAGAAACAGATCTGTGACTGCTCAGTGTCGTGGGCTGTGCAGTAATCAGTGTATCAACCAACAGCGCGAGGGCCTCCCGGTCAGACCCTTGGCTCGGGTGCGGACGCGAGCCAGGAGTCACAGGCCCTCCCAGGCTGTTCGCCCGGAAGCCAAACGTGACCCATGGTGACACCGACCTGGTCCTTGCGCAGCTGCGGGAGGCGGCGCTGTGCAATCAGGTGCTCCCTGCTCTGCCTGGGGGTGTGCCGTGGCCACGGGCTGCTGCGGCTCTGCCCCTCAGCACCCTGGGCGTTGGCCTGCGCCCCCCGGGACGTGTTCCTGCTACTCCCGCTGCGTGCCCCAGACGGTGCCGACCGGGCTCTCGGGCAACTTTCCTGGAGCTCTGTCCAGCCGCGGGCGGCTCTGCCTGGCTCTCCCACACCGTTGGGGCTCGTTCATCTGCACGTCTTCACGTGTTACGTTTTGCGGGATTTGTGCTGTGCGCACCACCCCTGAGCCACTGCCCGGCGTCTGAGCGGCACCCACAGCACAGCGGTGCGCCCCACCCCCTCATAGGTATCTGAGGCAGGCTGAGTGAGGCCCCCAAAGACGCCCACCTGACCCACAGCACTGTGGATACAGTGCCTCATGTGGCCACAGGGACTGCACGGGTGGGGTTAGGGGTCTCGAGATGGGTGGGGTTAGGGGTCTTGCCTGGGTCCGTGTCAGCAGGCGAGGCGCGGGGAACCGGGCAGCCTGGGGAAGGTGTGAGGCAGGAACGCAGCTGCCTCGGGCCTCCAGGAGGGCTCAGCCTCGCCCACGCCCTGGGCTTAGCCCAGTGCGACTTCTGACCTCCGGAACCATTAAGGAATCAACCTGATTGTTTTAAGCCACTACGTTTATGGTGATTTGCTGTAGCAGTAATAGGAAGCTATCAATAATATGGTAGCTGTTTCTTCTCTCTGGAAATGTCTAGGGTTTTCCTTAAATCCTTGGTGTTTTGAAACATTCAGTCTCATCATAGAACTTTTACAATATTTGCCATTTGTTTGTGATCCACCTTGCTGGCCCCGGCTGGAGGTTGTCATCTTGGGCCTTGGGACGGTCCCTCTAGTGTCGTGTCACCATCACGGATTCGCCGTGGCAGCCGGTGGGCCCCAGGCTTCGGGGGCCTTGTCGCGCTCCTGCAGGCTTTAAACTAGGAACAAAGACAGTGCTGAGGACCTCACAGCGGAGGCAGCCTGGAAAGGGACCCCAGGGGACAAGAGACCACACAGAATGAAACCTCAGCATTTGGGCCGGGTCCCAGAGGGCCCCTGGGCTGGTTTGGGGGGCTCCGTGGCCCATTCCTGGCCCTGGTAGTGGCACTCAGGTGGCCGAGGGCCCAGCCATGACTGTGGGATGTCATGGCCTGGGGAAGGCTCAGTGTCCCCAAGCCGCCTCCGTAACCCAGACAGCCCTCCCGGCCCTCAGAGCCCCCAGCCTCCGCAGACAGGCCCTGCGCTGCCCGTGACCCTAGGAAAATGCTTTTCTTCCTGGTTTTGTCTGGCACCGTTCCTCTGCCTCTGTCATCAGCTAAATTGCTAGGGTTGCTGCTTTGTTTTAACAAAGGTGTTCTGAACCTCGAGAGGGCCTGAGCACGCGCTGGAACTGTCACCTTGAGGCCGAGAGCGAGGGCTGGCTTGTGCCGAGAGAACTCGCCCGCGAGACGCAGCCCTGTGCTCGCAGAATCGCGGATAAACTCCTCTTAGAGTTCAATGTCAAACGTCTGTCTCCCGATGAACATGCACTTTGTGTTACTCGTTAGTGAGGTTTATAAAATCTAAAAGCCACGGGCTCTTCTTTTTCCTCACCTCAGCTCCCGGAGCTCAGCGTTCTGAGGCCGGCTGGGCCGCGTCCGCCTGCAGCCTCCGCGAGCTGCGGCTCTGCTCCCCGGGGGCCACCTCCTGCACGCGGGTGTGAGGGGCGTCTCTCTGGCAAACACGGACCGTGTGGCGTCCTTCTCTCCTCCCGACAGCTACACCTTCCAGCAGGTCCAGGAGCACACGGACCAGATCTGGAAGTTCCAGCGCCACGACCTGATCGAGGAGTACCACGGGCGCCCCCCCGCCCCGCCGCCCTTCATCCTGCTCAGCCACCTGCAGCTCGTCATCCGGAGGGTGGTCCTGAAGATCCCAGCCAAGCGTCACCGGCAGCTCAGTACGCGGCCTCCCGTCACCTGAGCGTGTCCCGGCAGTGTGGGGGCAGGCGGGGCTGGGCAGCTCCTTGTAGAGCCCTGGCTGCGTGGCGGGCAGGCAGAGCTCTCAGGCCACTGTCTCCCTGGCCTGGAGCAGATGCCGGGGACTGAGCCCAGTGCCCCCTCGGAGCAGGTGTGGGGGGACCCCTCTGTCAGGGTCCCCAGTAGGTCAGGGCCTCAGGTGCCCTCCCACCAGGGTTTCAGGTCCCCTGTGTCTGTCCCCTGCGCTGACAGAGAACAAGCTTGAGAAGAACGAGGAGGCCGCCCTGCTGTCCTGGGAGATCTACCTGAAAGAGAACTACCTGCAGAGCCAGCAGTTCCAGCAGAGGCAGAGGCCGGAGCAGAAGATCGACGACATCAGCGACAAGTACGGGGGGCCGGGGCGGATACTCTGGGCAGCCCCGCAATTCTGCAGGCATGAGACACACCCCACCTGGGCAGGGAAGCCCCCTGCGGTTCCACAGGCACCTGGGCCTGTGGTAGCCACTGGCCCATGGCCCTCCAGGTCTGAGGGAAGGCTGGGTCCCCAGGGTGAAGGTCCGAGGCCGGGAGGGGAAGCCCTGCTGGGTTGGAGGAGGGAGGCCTGGGAGGATGCCCACGTAGGAATTCCGGACTGTCTAGGGATGGTTCGCCCTGCGAGCTCGCTGGTGCATGGCCTCCCGGCAGCTTCTGCAGGTCCTCGGGAGCACAGCGCTCAGCACCGCCCCCTCGTAACCCTCCTGCCGGCTTCTTCCCCGCTGCAGGGTCAGTGCTGGGGAACGGTCTTCTGCCCCCTCCCTCACTCCAGCCCTGAGCCCTGGCAGGCGCCAGCAGGGCCTGACTGCCCAGCAGCAGACGGCTGGGAGGGCCTGGACCCAGGGTTCTGCTGCCAGTGTGTGTCCTACTGTGTCCAGGCCCTGCCCATGCCTGGCTGCAGGCTCCTCATCACCTGAGGGGAGGAGCAAGAGAAGGGACATGGTGCCACCCAGTCATGGCAGCGGAGGTGCCTGCAGGCTGTGAAGAGGGCATCCTGGAGCTGCAGGGAGTGGCCAAGAGCATGGGCTCCAGACAGACCAGGCCGAGTGGCCCCTTCTTAGCAACATGTGCCTCTGTCTATTTGCGCCTCCCTCGCCTCCTCTGTAAGATGGAGACCATGATAGCACCCATTACCTGGAGTTGTTTCCAGAACGCAGTGGGATCATGGCTGTAAAGCATTGAGCACATATATGCTTGAGCCGTAACCAGTGCTCTGCTAGCATGGGATGTTGCAGGTGCATGAGTGATAACAATGGTGATGATGACGGTGGGGTGGTGATGGTAGTGGTGGTGTTGGTGTTGGTTGTGGTGGTGGTGATGGTAGTGGTGGTGTTGGTGGTGGTGGTGATGGTGGTGATGGTAGTGGTGGTGGTGGTGATGGTGGCGATGGTGATGATAGTGATGATGGTGGTGGTCATGGTGATGATGGAGATGGTGGTGATGGTGGTGGTGATGGTGATGAT